GGGGACGTGGAGCAGCAGCTGCTGGCCACAGATTCGGCACGCTTCAAGGGTAGCGAAGGTGACGATCAGAGCAAGCAGCGGTGCTGCCCTCGACTTGGGGCGGTGAGGCGTCAGTCCTGCAGCGCGTAGACGGGACCGGCCGACGCCTTTCCGTCTGACATGCGGCCCCCCCCTGCTGGCCTGATCGCACGCCTCTCAGGTATTTATCACTGCGCCGTTTGTTTGCCTGACGGGGGCTGTTGTTGCCGGGAGCATCTGGGAGAGAGAACTCGAGACGGGGCTGAGTTGAACGATCCAGAGAGCCTTGTTTTGGCGATGGGGCAGGGGGGGCTCCCTCGTACCCACGCTAATGCCGACCGTCCCCCTACCCACGGCCCCCCACTCCAGGACCGGAAGATGCTATCGACGGCCCAGCAGATGCTGCAGGACAGCCGTACGAAGATTGAGCTGATCCGCATGCAGATCCTGAAGGTGACGCAGGCAGGGGAGCAGGGGCTGAAGGCCAGCGACCCAGGAGGTGAGAGCACGGGACCCCCCCCCCCCCCCCCCCCCCCCCCCCCCCCCCCATCGCCGCTGCTGTATCTGTACCCTGTGTCCTGGCAGGAGGCCCCCAGCACCCGGGCAGTCCTCCGGAGTTGCGGATCGCCGACTTGAGGCACCACCTCCGCATCGAGGCTGCTGTGGCCGAGGGTGCCAAGAACGTAGTGAAGCAGCTGGGGGGGCGTCGCCTGCAGGACCGCAGGGTCCTGGCCGAGGTGAGCAGCGGGCATGGGCATGGCGCGGGGGCATCGGAACGTTCAGCGGGGAGAGCAGTGTGTCCTTGTGTGTGTTTGAGGGAGAGGAAGAGAGGGAGTGAGTACCCCTACCTGTCATGGCTGCGATACCTCCCTCATGGTGCTACACATGTCAGTCTGACGGGTGGCCAGTCTAAACTGCCCCCCCCCCATGTCTAACCCACCTCATGGATCAGTGCATCTCATTGGCTGGCAGTGAGCATGCGCTTACGCGTTTTCCTCTCTACTCCCTAGGCCCAGGACCGGCTGCACGAGTCGTCCCAGAAGCTGGACCTGCTGCGCGCCTCCCTGGAGCAGCGCTTGAGCGAGCTTCCCCCGGAGCACCCCCAGCGCGCCACTGTCAAGGAGGAGCTCTCCATGGGCCCCTCTCCGTCGGTGGCATTCCAGCGGGGCCGCGTTTCCTCCTCCCCTTCTTCCTTCCTCAAGCCCGCCTCCCTCACTGGTGAGAGCAGCTCTCCTGTCCCAGTTCTGCTGGGATTTTGTAGGGACCCTTATGTGTGAAAGGGGCATGATCTGGTGGTACCCGGTTCCTCGGTTCCTCAGCATTATCTCCTGGGATGTTCCTCTGCAGGCAGGCTTGAAGTGCGCCTCCTGGGCTGTCAGGACCTGCTGGAGAACGTGCCGGGCCGTAACCGAGTAAGCGGCGTGTCCACGGCGCCGGGAAGCCCCTCCGACAGCAAGTCCCTGAAGATGCTAACGGGCCTGTCGGGCCGCAGCATCAACAGCAAGGTCAGCAAGATGGATGAGCTCTCCAGTGAGTACCTGCACTGGGTGGGGGCGAGGCTGGGAGTGGGCTGGGAGCAGCGCTGGGGTGGGTGGGTGGAACTGCGACTGGGGCTGGGGGG